GGAGTATGACTTCAGAAGGGAACGTTATTGATTCATTTTCGTTCGGGTGAGTAAACTCGACACAGTATTGTTCGGCGCAAATTTCATAAGGGAATGCTTCTGGGAGGTGCAGTCGTACCCCATTTTCCGTACACGTTATTAGTCGCATCATTTGAGAGTCATTGCGGTCATCTGTTGCTGCTGCTTCACTAAAGACAGCACAGAAGGCTAGAACTTGCAGAACCATTGTGAAGAGAAGGGTACTTGATTGTCCTGCCGATCCTTCATCCCCGTGCAAAACTTCAGAATAATCGATAGGACGCCTTTTCCTGAGATTGTATCGTGGCACTAACTCTGAGTGACCCTTTTCTGACTCTGAAGCCGCTTCAGAGGCAATGGGTGTGTGCCTTTCTAGCTCGCTTCCTTCGTCGGTCAAGGAAGGTTTCTGGTGTTCTGAGGCTTGTGTGAGCTCTTCTTCTTCGAGTTCCAGAGGGGTCAAAAGGTTGACTGGCCGACGAATTAGCCGTTGGGAGGGTAACCGTACAACGACTTCACGTATTGATCCTCGAGCATTTGCTTTAACCTGATGAATTCTGCCCATTTTCCAAGAGTGGCGGGGTAGAACGGGATCGTTTATCAACACTACTGTCCCCTCTTTTGGATATTGTGAGCAGCCGCGTTTCCTGCCGACGTTGAGAGTGTGTTTCTCTCTCAGAGCCGTGAGATATTCTTTCTGCCATGCTTTCCAAAACTTCTCCGTAAATTGGCAGGACGACTGCAACGCCTTCTCCGCTTGCTGCTTCGAATCGCAACCTGTTCAGTCGATGGCAAGTATTGCGGGTCATCGTCATCGTCCGTTCTTCGCACAAAAGGATAGTAGATGAGGATATCCTTCTGAAGGAAGTCTATTGGTCTCAATATTGAGTCTCTGTGGGGTTCGCCTACTACATACGTGAGTGGGCGCGTATTGAGCATTGCCTCAATCTCGACTAAGATAGTCGTAAGTTCTTCGAGCGGCACGAGCGACTTCCCTATCGTCTTGAAGAGACACTGCTTTCACGGCTTTGATCAGTCGTTCGTAGAAACCTCCTTGCCATGGGGCAAATGGTGTGTTGTACCTCCACTCAATCTCCTTATTGCTAAGATCTCGCTGGACGAGTGGATCATTCTGAGCCGCATGCAGACAATCTTTCAAAATGGTTTCTCCTAGTTCGAATGTTGGAGCATTGTCACTATTGATTGACTGAGGTATTCCTCTGCGTGCGAAGAAACGTCGGAGCATATTGAGAAAAGCTAGCGTGCTCATATCAGAGACAACATCTAGGTGAATTAGCCGCGTTGTAGCGCAGGTAATTATTGCACCGTAACATTTCCCCGGGTCCCCTGCGGCTGATAGGCTTGAGAGGGGTCCGAAGTAGTCTATGCCAACATGCTGGAAAGGGTACGAGCGAACAACTCGTTCTTTGGGTAAATCCTCTTGAGCAGGGTAACTGTAGGGTAGGTTATTGAACTTTTGACATTGGAAGCACTTCCGTATGACTGCGCAAACTTGTGAGCGCAATTGTGGTATCCAAAGTTGTTGACGAACCATAGCCATTGTATGATTGATATCTAGGTGACCGTGCTGGTGAGCATCCCGTATTATGATTTCTGCTAGAAAGGTTTTTTGGAGTATGAGGACGGGATTCTTGGTATCGTAGTCCAGCTGCGCTTTTCCTAGACGTCCGTAGCAGCGGAAGATACCTTGGTCGTCTTGAAGAATATTGAGCTGCCGCAGAGAAGCGATTACTTCTTGAGTGATATACACACCCTGATGATGACGGATGAGCGCTAGCCCCGCTGTTCGGATCTCCAGGGCAGATAAACAGCACGGTTGTTCTGGTCGGTACTGGTTCACTGCTGTGACGAGAGCATGACTTCGTGAAGCTGCTCGTTTTACTGCGCTTGGCCATACTGCATATGAAGCGAAGGACGTATGCTATAATGCGCTTAGCTTGTGTGAATGTTCGCGTCTGAGCCGGACTGAGAAGTTCAAGGTTATCTTCCGTTGGACTTTCACCACGAGAATCTTATTGGGTTCCACGGGTTGGGTGAGAGGACCTTCTTCTGGTTCTTGAATGGGGTAAACGAAGAGCTTATCTTGACCCGGCCATTGGTGGGGTGGGTATTGCAGAAACGTAGGGCCGACCCACCAGGAATGATCTAGCAGCTCTTCTTTCGATAGTCCTCGAGTAGCGCTATCAGCAGGATTATCTTCTGATGGGACGTATCCAATCTTGACTGGACATTGCTGCTCAGTGAGATAACGAGCAATGTCTCGCATTTCCTTTACGCGCCTGTAAACGAAAGGACCCACTTCACGTTCTGGTTTCCGCTTCAGCCAGCTCAACACTATCTCAGAGTCAGAGAATAAGTAAATTCCCTGAATACTGAGCGTTTCCTTCAGCTCAATAAAGACATGGTGGGAAGTCTCATGGACAAAGTTGCAGCATTCAGTTCCAGCTTTGGAATTGTATGCTGCCCATGAAGAGATGGAAGTTTGGATCTGGCCATGATGAGCGACGATTTATTGTGCTGACATAGGTAAACACACGCTGCCATAGTTGACGAACTGGCATCTGCAAAGGCAACTAGGAAGGCTTCAGTGTTTTTTGATGCGCGACATCTCGGGATTTTCTTGGTGAAACCTTGCACAACTTCTACTATATTGGCCCATTCCTGTTCCTTATCCGTGGGGAGCACTTGATCCCAGGTGTACTGGTTCTTCCACAATTCTTGCAGGAAAACTTTGCATCGATGAAGAAGGGGAAGGACCCAGCCCAACGGATCGTAGACGGACGCTATTGCACCTGTGACAGTCCTTTTGGTCAGCAATGGAGTATCCGGAATGTGGCATGATGCTAGAATCGTGTCGTCCTTCACATCCCAGGAGAGTCCCAGAACCTTTGGATTGGTCTCCTTAGTTTTGTCGATGTCCTCTATTCCATCCATCAAACGTTGATTGTTGGATGAGAATTCGCGCAGATTCATGTTCAGGTCGTGGAAGATCTCTTTCATCCGTCGGTAGGCATATATTGCATCTCCCAACGTATCCGTTGTCAGCAATACATTGTCCACATACATGTTCTTTCTGATGTCCCGAACCAAGTCACCTTCATTCTGATATTGATGGAGATGATAGTTAATTGTTCCCGCTAACAAGAAGGGGGAAGATTTTATGCCGAACGTCACTCTTGTGAAGCGGAACGTTATTGTGTTACTGATAGATGGAGCTGCTTTGTGATCACGTAACCAAAAGCACCTTGTTGCGTCCCTATCTTGCTCTTGCAGGCGTACCTGAAGGAAAGCCTTCTCGATATCAGAGATGATGGCCGTTCTTCCGATCCCGAAGCGAAGCAAAATACCACTGATGAGCGGAAGTATGACCGGTCCTCTGTATAGTGCGTCGTTCAAAGATGGACAATCCTTATAATGCGCTGAGGCATCAAATACGACACGCAACTTTGTCGTCGATTTATGGGGGGTGATCACAGGTTGATGGGGGATGTAGTGAACCTGTGACCCTTGCCGGAACTCCTCTGTGTCCGTAGCAGGTTCGATGATTCCCTGTCGGAGTTGATCTTGGAAAACTTCATTGTACTGGTCAAGAAGAGTTTCATCCTTGCTTATTGATGCCCATACATTGACGAGACGTTTGTAGGCCAACGCTTTATTGTCCGGCAAATAGGGATATTGGTCTCTCCAAGGTAGACGCACATAGTACCCGTCTTCTCGGCGTTGTATCGTGCTATTGAATTTTTGCCAAACTTGCTTGTCCTGTGCGGCACGGGCTTCCTTTTCTGTACCAGTGAACTCTTCAGTGCCTGCCCCATCTAGAGTCCAGAATCGATCCCATTCATCCTTTTCTTCATGGGGTATGCCACTCTCTGAGGAGTTAACCACATATTGTTGTATTGTGTCCATAGACCAAAGCCCTTCCCATCGATCTTCGTCATCTGGAAGCGGCTGAGAAACTTGGAAGGCATAATTATTCTCAATTTTGGGTTTTCCTGAAACTAGGTATCCCATCTTCGTTGGTAAAATATGCATTCCAGATGGTAAGGCTATTGAAGGTTCGCTGTTCTGTACGAAGGACCACAGCTGATCACATCCCAATAAAATGGAGGGCGTGATTTTCTCTCTATCCGATCGCCACACCACTGGTAGATTTAGAGAACGAATGTATTCGACGTCCTCGACAGGAAGATTTGGGGCTTCCAGCGAACGCGTCAGGACGTCATGTGTGAGAAGTACTAAGCTATGAGGCGTCCCTTCTGCATCCCAGACGTCCAACTGCACCCGGTTGGATCGGAACTTCTTCGCATCTTGAGATCCAAAGGTTATCACTTTAACTTCTTTCTCCTCCAGGACTGGTAACTGCAGTATTTCCGCTAAGGCTTTAGTAATGAAAAAAAGGCTTTAGTAATGAAAAAAAGCTCCGCTCCAGTATCTAGGAGAACGCTGACCTTCAGAAGTGCCTTGGTTTCTGTATCAACGACGGTTAGTTCCCCTATGGGTAAGCATGGATGTACCGACGAAGGGTTGTAAGGAGTGGACTGGTGCTGGAGAGCTGCGGTTTCAACAGATACGCTGTCTGAGGGAGGAGATCCCTTGGTCGCGGTCGCTATGGCATTAGAACGGGTCTTTATCGTTCCTTCCTGGCCTTATTGTCGCGACCGGTATCCTTTTGGGGAGCTGTTGTTGACCTGTGAACTGCTCCTCCAGTTTCTTGGGTATTGGATGGCCTAGATGGATTGTTCGCCTTGTTGGTGGATTTGAAGCAGCAGGAGGTATGGTGAGCCCCTCCGCAACTGAAGCACATTCGCCCTTTACAATGCGCGGTATTGTGGGTTGGAGATGCACATATGAGGCAAAGATTGCGTTGCCTCAGATAGGCAGATCTTTCCCTGTGGAGTGGGGTATTTCATGCAAGCATGAGAAGGGTGAGAACCTTTACAGTACATGCACACTCCTTTCATGGGGCCCTTGGGACCTGGTTTATTGCGAGAAGAGATATTGTCCCTTATTGGCTGCTTCGTCTTCGGCTCCGTGAACATTAGGATCATTTCTTCTGCGGTTATGACTTCGTCGAGGTATTGGAGGAGTAGGCTCATAGTGAAAGAGGTAGCTGGTGAGAGACCCTGCTTCTTCATGATCACTTTACGCTTGAGGGAATCAGGGACTTTGCACAACACCTTTTTGATGAGCCACAAATTATTTACCCCCTCTCCTTTTTCCTCTAATTGGGTTATGATAAGCTGCAGTTCCTCCAGAAGGTGGCGCTGACCCTGTTTAGACTGACCACGTTGGGAGCAATTGTCCAGTTTCTTTAGCAGGGCATTGATTAAAACGTCTCTATTATTATATTTACTGTGAAGAAACTGTATTGC